CCCCAAAACCCCAAAACCCCAAAACCCCAAAACCCCTTATTCTACTGCAAAAATTGTATCTCGTGTAAATATAAATGGAGGACTTAGCTAAACAAGGTAGGCTTAACTTATAAAGCTCTAGACCACGACTTCTACAGTCCGAGAGGAGGGCCCTATCAAGAACAAAGTGATAATATCCTGCCTGTGATCAGGCAAGCTTCTGAGCATTTGGAGATATCAGCTATTGAAGACACTCAGAATAACCATCTGGTTATCCAGAGTTTAATAGTCGAGTACTTGACTTCTATCAACCAAATTGAGAAAGCAGAAATGATCAGGAATGATCTCCAGGTCATCCAGACTGAGAACAGAGACTCTGCTGTTGGAAATCTCTCAGCCCAGCATAAGCTGATCAGCTTGTACGACAATGGAAGAAGAGAAGAGTTTTTTAAATATTGGAGGCAAACAATTTCTATTCATTCAAGAAATCAGAATTTAACGTTTTTGAAAGTAGAGTTTTATATATCACTTTACTTCTGCCTCTACCCCCTATTCCTAGCTATGAAGTTAGTCAAGAGCGATCAGAAGCTGAACTCTGGAGAGACATCTCAGTGGTATAAGAGGGAAATTGGGTATTTCAAAAAATATATTGATAAATATGGATCAGATTTTTCACAGACCACTGAATTTCTTTCATTCTACGCTCTTAGCTATGTTGATAACCCTATTACACACTCTTCATTCTCAAAACTCTTTACTGAGAAATGGATCAGCGAGAGGAGAAACATTCTGATAAAATTCTTGAAGAAAGAGTTTCCAGAAAGACAAATGTCTCGAATCGAGAAGCTGCTTGTTTTTCATCAGAAATATGGCAAGACTGATATTTCAGAGTTATTCACCAAGAACATCAACAGGGTAGAAGTTCGGAGTGGGCCCATTGGTGACGACACTAACACATTCTCCCGAGCGAAGTCTCAAAATCTGATTGAAAAGGATATCTCAAAGGAAAAATAGCATGATTATTACTCCTTCATATCATGATAATGAGGATATTTCTCAGATAAAGGAGGAGTATCAGAATGTGAAGCAACTTTCTACTGATCTCCTCGCTTGCATGAACAGAATCGTGCAGAGTCTTACCAGTGACGATCCTAGCCACAGAACCAAGATCCACCAATGGGCTGTAAGCAAACTTAAGGATTATGGGGATCATCTTAGAGAAGATAAAACAGAATTCTCTAGGCAAGAGTCTGAGATCGATCCACAAGATGATCCCAGCGACTTTTATAGTGAGAAAGGCATGGTGCCTAACAAGGAATTTGGCAGAGCCACCATTAATGCTGGCAAGAGAAAAATCCCCAGGGTTGAGCCTGAAGAGTTTTATAAGACAGATACCGCTATCCTCTCTGAAAATCGTCGTCTTTCCGATAAAGAGTTTAAGTCATCAAGTCGACATGAATCTGCTCAATCTGTTGAGGAAGATCAAGCTGTTAAGCTTAAAGCTGCTACTCCAGCTCCTGAAATTTCAAAGGAAGAGATTCAGCAAAAAGAGCAATCCTCAGAATACTATGAAGATGATTTCGAAGACTACTTTTCTGAAAGAGATGCGTTACAAGCAGAGGAAGAGAAAAAGACTGAGAAAGCTATGAGTGACAAAAAGTTATCTAAAACCACAGAGTTTTCGTTAATAGACCTCAACTACGGTAAAATGAGGGATGATTTGTCAGATTACTCTTTACTTCTACTTAAGAGCACTGCTACTTCTGAAGGAGTAAACAAGGATGGAATCCTCGAGAAGAAGACCTGTGCTCTACTGCATACTCTGAAGAAGATGATATCTAATTATAGTTCGTTTCAATCAGGCACAAAGATGACAAGACGGCAGGTTCTGGGGTTCTTGATAGAACATGATATCTTCGGATATTATCATGTTAAAATTGACACTAATTCCAAAATATTCGAGATCTTCCCTAACACACTAATTAGATTATTATACAGCTCTACTAAAAAGCAAGAAGGGGATGGAAAGTCAGCTCCAAGAGTAGTCCAATACACAGTTGCTTTATTGAATGCCATTTCTTCTATCAAAATGGGAAGGGACTACCTCCTTCCTAGAGAAATAGATTATGAGCATGGAAAGCACATGACTTTGTGCCTCATTAAGAGGATTGTCCAAGTCATGAGTAAGGAGACAGGTGACAGCCTTCTCAGGCAGTATTCAATAGGAGTCTTGCAGAAGTTCTCTCTTCGGAACTCCTCGCAGCTGATCCTAATAGAGCTTGATATGATCGAAAAGATAGTCTCAATTATCAGGACGGAGTACCAAACAATCAGTGATTACTCGCTCGAATGACTGATGGCAACACTGATGAACCTATCTCTTCGTACTAAAGGTAAAGAGAGAATGGAGAAGATCCATAAAATCCTAGTACCTTTGCTTAAAGGGATCCTCTCTATGAGCAGTGGGCAGATAACTATCTATGCTAATGGAGTGCTATTCTCCCTTATTACTAACACAGCTGTTCGTGAGTTTATCAAGCAGACTAACCTCAAAGAGTTCTTAGAAGAAACTCGTGATGATATACGTAACAGCTTGTTCACAGGTAATGAAAACGAAGACGAAGAAGATGAGATGCCAGAAGAAGACAAGAGACAACTTCTCGTTCAAATCTCTTATATAATCCAAAAGCTTGAAGAACCAGAAGGCGAAAAGAGGATTCAAGAAGCTGAGAATAGCCGAATCGGCTTCTCTCAAACTGAAGAACAAGATGAACAGCTCAGTGATGCTCACCAGGATGGGTCCAAGAGAGGTACAGACTATAGAGGAGATGCTGAAGATGAAGATGACGACTTAACTGACGATGAAGAGCTTGATTCAACCCTTCAAAGCGCCAGTCTTTTAATAGGTAATTTAAAGTTTCTGTATTGTTTGGGATAGAAAATTAGCTTAATTATAGCACCAGAACTTTTCTTCATTTACAATGATTTAACTTCTTCTATAGCAGAGTATAGTTTAAAGAAGGTTCATGCGAAAGTTTATGAGAAGGTTCATGAGGAGGTTCCGTCTGAAGATTCAGCTTCTTATAAAGAGGAATATAAAGTTCCTCCAGTTAAAGATGCTCCAAAGATTTTTCAGTATAACCAACAGCCAAGCCAAATTATCAGGGACTCAGGCCATTACCAACCGAGGGATAGAGCAGATATCAGGATGTCTCATAAAAATGTTTTAAACAAAAGATTAGATGTTAAAAACAAAGAAATGGAGCAGAAATTTGATCAAGCTAATAAATACAGAGATGTCAGACAATATCAAAGTGTTAATCATCCATTGAGCCCTTATAAAAGTGAGGAGGAAGAAATGGTATTTAGACCTCGCTCGAAACTCCTAAGAACACCTAAAGATTCCCATAACGTATACAGGGAAAGTTATGAAAAGGTAACTTTTGGAAATCAGAGACCAAACAAATCTCCGAATTTCAACGAGCCAGACAGCTTTTATCAAAATTCCAAAGATAAGGGAAATCCTAGAGCCATGTCTAGCCTTCCAGCTATAGCCCCATCGCCGAAGAGCATCAAAAAGCCTGCAGTGGGTAAGATAAAGTTTCCTCAAATTTAATTCAATCTTCAAAATTTTCTCAGGGGTTTTGGGGTTTTGGGGTTTTGGGGTTTTGGGG